GCCTAGCTATGGTCCCTCGACTTATTGGGGACTATCTCGCCAGCGCCATGCTTATCCGCCGGCCGATGCTCGCGCAATGCGGGACTGCTGCAGTTCTTTTCGGCGCTGGGGACGTGATCGCGCAACAGGCGGTGGAACGGAAGGGAAAGGAGCATGATGTGGGTTTCCGTCGCGTCATTTGTGAAGGATTTTCTCAACCGGTTTCCAGTTCGCTCGGACGGCCCGACTCACGTTTTACGGTGGTAAAATCCCTCGTACTCCTTGCGTTGTCTTTGAATTTGAATCCGTACGCAGGGGCGATGTTCGGGCCCGCCATGACGAAGTGGTACCAGCTCTTGAACCGAATTCAATTCAAGACCCCGACGAAAGCCATCGTTTACCGCGTATGCCCTTCGTTCGTTCCTCATCGATAGAGAAATATTCAATCGCAACAGGTTTGGCTTGACCAAATGGTATTGACTCCGGGTTAGACTCAGTGAATCTTTTCATTCTCCCGTACTGACCAAACGGCAGGTGCTGTTATCGTATTCTTCGGGTCTATGGCCCTGTTAGAGGGCAAGCCAAAAGAAATCGTACCTCGGATAGGCGCTGTGAGTTATGTTGCGTGTTATTCGTTCCCTCTCTGAAACGTATTTCTCCATAGGGCTACGTGCCCACGCTCTTGCGCAATTGGTGAGACCCACCTCGAGTACATAACTTACCTTTACGATGATTCACCGCAATGCAGGGCGGTGTTTGTCCCCACCCAAATAATCAACTTCTGGCTCGTCCCGCCGCACTTGCGCTTTGTGGTCGTGAGCGTCGTCAGTTTGTTCTGGAGTACGTCCACGAAGTCTTTTCACCTTTCCCAACTCACCTGTCCTTTTTTCGCTGCGCAGATACTTACTTGAGCGTGGCCAACGCCGTGGCCACGAAACAAGCTGAGGCTGCCGGTCTCATCGAGGAGAAGAAGGACGAAAAGGTAGCGATTTGAGAGTCATCTAGCACTCGACGCATACAGGACGTTTCCTAGAAGCTATCATAATGAACACGCACTCTCATCTGCGTTACGCGTACGCAATGGACATCCAAACACACTCTTTCTCCCTCGGGCATCTGCACAGGAATGGCTCGCTGAGCAAGGTCTCATACACATCTGCAGCCATCTGGTAGATCGGCACCCATTTCTCCGAGGCATCTGACGAAATCGACATGAGCCCTTGGTACACCGGGAAGTGACCGACACAATTACCCATTTCTTGCACCTCGATCACCCACTCAAGCGGAATAAAATGCTCGAAGAGATATTCGTGGTAGTTGGAGGCCCGCGACTCTAGCGTTACCCCCAGACGATCCGCTAGCGTGCGCATATGAAATGTGCGCGGGCGCTCCGGGGACCCACGGCTGGTGTCGAGCGTCCCGACGAAGATCCTTTCTTTTCGCTCAGGCTGGCGCTTATCGTACCACGCCCTGGCCGCATTCGCAAACGTCTCAGCCTTCCAACGGTTCGTCGTCGTCGATATCAACGGCGATGCGGCGCGCTGCCACCATTGCAGGTGCAGGGAGAGCGTACGCGCATCCTCCCCGTTTGTCGTCGTGTCTCGGGCTCGAAACCCGTTCTCAGAGGAGAAGATACTGGCAGATGACTCTCCATATCCGCGATACAGAATGTCCATGGGAGGGAAAGTGGTGTGGTGAGTACGGCGCACAATCCACGCACTTTCTTGATATATATGATGGACCTCTATTCTTAACTGCACGCCCTGGGCCAGGCGTCTCGTTACCCATAAGATTGCCCGTTGACTTTTCGGGACGGCATACGAGATGCATGTCCGAGGAGAATAAATCTAAGCTTATAACGCCTGCTAAATACGTAGAGATTAGTGGTTTTAATTTTGATTATCGACGCCCTCAGTTCGTCGACCATGGAGGGCAACACCTCCGACGGTCCTACTTACCGCGTCGAGCTCCGACGTGCGCGACGGCGTCCAACGTCTTCGTCCGATGCGCGCGTTTTCCATCCACGCAGCACATACCAGCCGCGTCTACCCACTAGTCTGCAGCGTCCCCACCAGCCCCCCCACAAAAGCGCGCGCATTCCCGCTGCTCTCGGTATACTTGCCCAAGAACAGCTCGTCCGCGCCCGACTCCTCCTGCACCCGGAGATCCTCGTCCTCGTCCTCGTCCTCCTGCTCTTCCTCTTCGGCCTCTTCATTTTCTTCTTGCTCCTGTTCTTGCTGTTCCTCAATTTCCGCGTCCTCGCTTTGTGGTCCGCCGAGGGACGCGGGGTTCGTGAGCGCGGCGCGCACGCCCGCCGAGACGATTCTTGCGATCTCCGGATCGGACCCGAGGTCGAGCGGGCCAGTCGCCTTACTTACACCCGGCGCAGACGCGGACGCACCCTCGCCCAGCGCCTCCGCAGCGCGCACGAAGTCGTCTTCCGCGCTGTCCGTCTCCGCCTCCACCGTGGCGATCTCCTCAACTCCTTCAACTTCAACTCCTTCCGCCTCGCCCTCGCCCGCGACCCGCCCGTCAATACTCCACACCCTCCCCAGCCCCTCCCTCTGCCGACGCCGGTCCCACACCTGCATCTCCGCCGCCGCCTCCAACGCACGGACCTCGTCGTACTCCGGCCCGTCGAGCTCCGCGCGCAGCGCCGCGATCGTGTGCTCGCCCGCGGGCGCGGGTGCGTTGCCGCTGCTGCTTGTTGATGTTGAGTTGGAGGAGTTCGAGTTGGAAGGGGAGGAGGAGGGGGAAGGGAACGTCTTCGACTGCACCGCCGACGCGAAATCGGCGAAGCCCTTCTTCGGCTTTTCCTTCTCCTTTTGCTTTCCTTTTTTGGTGCCCTGCGCAGTCGGCGCGGACGCGGATGCGGAGGACGCGAAGGGGGAGGAAGAGGCGGAGGACGCAGAAGAGGAAGAGTCGGCGTCGGCGAGCGCGGCGTCGTACGCGGTCTCGGGGTCCGCGTCGACCTCGGCCTTGAGCTTGCGGTACTCCTTGAGCGTGTCGAGCTCCGCGCGGCGCGCGGCGCGGCGTTGGCCGCCTAAGGCGAGGGGGGTGGGTTAGCGTTTAACGTTTGGCGGGGGAAAGGGAAGGGAGTGGGAGTGGGAGTGGGGTTGCGAGGAAAACGAAAACGAAAACGAAAACGAAAAAAGAAGGGAAGCAAAAGCAAAAGCTCACCAGTCCGTAACACGCCCGCGTCCATCCACACCTCGAACAGCCCCGCCGCCTCGCGCACGGACAGCGCATCGGGCACGCGCACCGCGCGCAGCGCGCGCACTGTGCGCGTCGTGGCTTTCGCTTTCTTCGGCGGTGCGTTTTTCTTCTTGCCGCCTTTCACCTCGCCCGTCGCAACGCCGTCATCGGCGTCTGAGTCCTCGTCGGGCACCGCCTCCTCGACGCCCTCCTGCACGATCTTGCCGCGCCAGACGCCCGCGGGGCGCGCGACGGGGAAGGGGTCCGCGGCGGTGGGCTTGAGGGCGTCTTCGTAGACGGGCGGGTCGTACGCGGTGTAGCCGGTCCAGGCGTCGGCGTCGGAGGAGGGGGGGTATGCTGGGGGGTCGATGGGTTCTGGAGATGGGTTGATTTAATTTATGGTTGGGAAAGAGGGAAGGAGGGAAGCGCACCCTCGATTTCTGTTTCCAGGTACTTTGCGAGCTGGGAGCTGCGTCTGTAGCGCCGGCCTCTTGTGGGGGAGGGGGTGAACTCGTCGGAGAGGCTGAGGGCGTCGGCGAGCTGCGGGGTGACGGGGAACTGCGTGTTGGTGCGGGAGAGGGCGGTGAGAACGAGTCCGCGGGCCTGGAGGCGTGTTAGCATTTTTTTTAAAAAGGGGACAAAAAAATACCAGCTGCTTGCGCCCGCTCACGTACTCCAGCAACAGCCGCGGCATGCTCAGATGATGCGGGCGCACCATCTTGAAGCGCGGGTCGCGGTAGAGCGAGCGGCCGGTGAGCGCCTGGAAGTCGTCGATGGCGATGAGGACGGGGTAGTGCTCCTGCTCGGCGAGCTGGTCCATGACGGCCTCGAGCACGAACGGGGCGCGCACGCCGTCGGCCTCGATGCCCGCGTGGATGAGGTCGGGGAGAGACGTGCCGACGGGGAAGGCGGCGCCGCCGTCGGGCAGGACGATCTCGTCGCCGGTCTCGAGCTCGTCGAGGATGTGGGCGTTTGCGCGGAGGAGACGGGACAGGGTCTGGGCGGCGATGCGCGGCTGGAGGTAGGTGCGGGTTGCGAGGGAGTACTGGTAGGGGGACGAGCCGTCGACGAGGGTGCGCGGGCGCGGGATGTAGAGGACGATCCACTGCCGGGTCGAGGCGGCGTACTGCGCGGCCTGCAGCAGCAGGAACGACTTGCCGACGCCGGCGCGCCCGTTGAGGACGAGTCGTGCGGGCTGCGACTTTGCCTCTTCGAGGGCGCGGATGAGCGAGAGCGTCGTCGACGTCGTGATCGACACCGGCATCCCCAGCAGACGGAACTGTGCCCAGTAAATTACCAGCACTCTAGCAGGGAAAGACGCGCACCTCGAGCAGCATGTGCTTGGGCACGCCGTACACCCGCAGCGGGCTCGTCGCGTCCATGTCGTGGAACCGCGTCGCCACCCCCGGAGCCAGCAGCCGCGGCAGCATCGGCGGCACATCCAGCTCAACACGTCCAATGCCCCCGTCCACAGCGCTCTCGAACAGCTCGTGGGTTAGTGAGCCCGCGGCCAGTGGTCTGAACGTCCCCGCGCTCCGCTCGCGCGCCTTGACAATCGGCCGTCCCTGTGCGTCGCGCTGCACAACCGCCTGGCCCTGCTTCTTGCCGCCGGAGGATGCGTTGGCCCCGGGCACGTAGTACGAGGACCGCGTCTTTTTGTACCGCGCACCAAAGTAAAGGAGCGGCGCTGGGCGCGCCTGCGCGCGGCCCAGGAGATGCATGCGAGCAAAGGATTTTTGGAGCCGTGTTTCGCCAGCTTCTGCACAACGCACCTGCCTTGTTGATTGTGTTGGGGAGGTAGTCCCCAGAATAGATGGCTGAGCATCGGCGTCATAGCTCAGTTGGGAGAGCAGCAGACTGAAGTGAGTCCATGTCATCTGAAGGTCCGGTGTTCAAGCCACCGTGATGCCATCCTTTTGGCATTCTCTCCAGCCATCTTTGATTGAAGTCTTCCCTACCTCGTTCTTTTTGTCTGCCGAATGCATTCCCGTCCTTGACTTGACCCAAGTACGATACACCCGATGAGTTCAAGAGTGTCCACTGTCAAGGCATGGTTTCCTGCCAAACAATAACGAGTACATCCAGTGCATTCAATATTCACGAATTACGACGCGGCTTCGCATTATTTAAAGACCCAATATATAAATACAGGGCACTCCCCGCCCCTCGTACAACAGCAGCGCAGCACTGCCTCTTCTCCCTTCTCCCTTCTCCTTTTCTTCCTCTTCTTCCTCGTTTGAGTTCCGCCCCACCCCGCCAAGCAAGACAGACAGACGTTACGCGCGCGCTTGTAACAGCACTCACGAGCCCGTGCCGACGCTTTGCAGCACGAACGGCGCGGAGGGGTTGTCTGGGCGCGTGATCTCTTCGTAGATGAGTACTGGGTGAAGTTAGTAGGGGTAACGAAAGTGAGGGGGGGGGGGGGGGGGTGGAACAAGACGCACCTTTGAGATCCTCCTTCCCCAGCGGGTCCCCGTTGTCAAAGTCAAAGAATGACGGGTCGATCGCCTCGGCGGTGGGTTCGTCGGCGGGGTCATGGTACGGCTGCGAGAGGAGGGTTTGTTAGTGATTGTAGTTGCGAGGAGGGAATGGTAAGAAGGCCGTGGAATATATATGGAGCGATGCGATAACGAGACATTCCTCGCCGAGGGAATTTCCCTGACACAGAACCAACGACGGACTGCTTCGTGACTGAGCAGAAGTAAAGTAGCGGCGCGGCGGAACGAGCACCCAGATCCTCCAACGCGAAAACACGTCAAGACAGCGCGTTGTGAACTGAAGAGCACCGAGTCTTTCGATGCAGGGTCAACGCGGACATGCTACGAGCACCATCTGTCCGGCGGCTAGCGAGAGCGTGCGGGCCTCATCGCGCAGCCCGACCTTCTCCCCTACCGCTCCTCTGTCTCTGGTCCGTTTTCGCACCGTCACCACACCGTCACCATAGCCCCTCCGCCGACGACCTCCACCCTCCTCCCAAAGAAAAACAAACTCGCAACAAACAAAGCGACCAACTCACCTGCAAATACGGATGCGCCAGCGCCTCGCCGACCTCTATGCGGCGCTTCGGCGAGAAGGTGAGGCACTTCTCCATCAGGTCGAGGGCCTGGGGGATGGGGGTTAGTGTTTGGTATTTATCAGGGTGGGGGAGGAGAGGGGGAGAAGTGGGGGAAATGACGGGGAGGGGGAGGGGAAAGATGCAGGCACGGAGATGTGTCGCGTCGGAATCTCAATTAATGTACCGAGGCCGCCCGTGCCGCTGCAATCGGGAACATCGCTGCCGCACGAGAAAACGCGCGCGCTCGCGAGCAACAACGGGACGCGTAACGAGGAAGACGCAAGGAGCCAAAATCGTATCTCGCATCCGTCTCGCACTAATCGGCTCTGCACTCTCGAGCTCTCAGCGTCCGCTGCCTCCCTCCACCGAGCTCTCGCCCCGATTCGATCTCAGACCCAAGCTCCAAGCTCAAGAAACACGAGAACACAAAACACGAAAACACGAAAACACAAGACGAAAGCAAGACAAAAACACGCACATCCGGGTTCGCCTTTGGAAAGAGCGCGGCAAAGGGGCGCTTCTTGCGGAAGGGCAGGGCGCGGATGTATTCGCGGCTGCGTGGACGTTAGCGTTGAAAAACGAGGAGGGGAGGAAGGATAACGGGAAGGAGGAGAAGAGGAGGAAACGTAGATAACGGGAAGGAGATGAAGTGGAGGAAGGAAGGCGCAAGTCGCGTATGAGGAGACGCGACGCGGCGGATAGTGCATGATACATGCGAGCGGTCGCACGGGCCGCCACACAACCCGTGCTCAAATCGGCCGCCGCGCAAAAAGTGGGTGAAGGTACAGGCGAGACCGGCAAAAATGTGGATGAAAGGGAGGGACACACCTCCGCGAGCTGGAGATGGCGTAAAAGTCGTCGATGGACGGCGTGCCGAGGATGTCCAGGATGATGGAGAGCTGGTGGTGGTCTGTGGGGAGTTGTGAGCAAAAAAGAGAAGGGGGAAGGTGTGGCGTACAATCCCTTCCCGGAAACAGCGGTTTGCCACTGAGCATCTCCGCCAATACACAGCCGACGGACCACATGTCGATGGCGCGGGTGTACTCTTTAAAGGTGAGCATTACTTCCGGGGCGCGATACCATCTGCGAGGAGATGAGCATAGTTGCGGTATAGAGGAAGATGCACGGACCGCGTGGCGACGTATTCGGTCATGAACGTGCTGCTGTCGTTCGCGACGTTGGGCGGGGGGCGGGCGGAGCGTGCGAGACCAAAGTCGCACAGCTGTGGCGGGGTCAGATTAGTTGGTAGGACAGAAAAACAAAGACCTTCAAGTCGCAGTTTGCGTTGAGGAGGAGATTCGAGGGCTTGAGATCGCGGTGGAGGACGTCGGCACTGTGGAGTGCTTTGAGGGCGCGCAGGGTCTGTTCCAGGCTCCAGCTAAGTTCCCTCTAGATAGCCAAAAAAGTACCTGGTAGATAAAGTACTGGCAGTGGTCGTCGGAGAGCTCCTGAGTGCGGATGACGCGATGGAGGTCGGTCTCCATGAGCTCCTGGACAAGATAAACCTCGTTGAACTGGTTGATGGACGGGGGCTTGAGGATGTCGAGGATTGCGATTATGTTTTCGTGGTGGAAGTGGCGGAGGAGCTTGATCTCGCGGAGGGTGCGCAGACAGAACATGGAGTGGTCAAAGGGCGTAATGCGCTTGATGGCGACCTTGCGCTGGGTGGGGACGTGCACGGCGGACACGACGACGCCGTACGCGCCCTCGCCGATAACGTCGAGCACCGAGTACGACGACCCGACGACGAACCCATTCATGCGAGAGTCCATCCTGCGAATACACCCACAAACAACTGAATCCTCGTCCACAACCATGAAGCTCGTCCGCTTCCTCATGAAGCTCAACAACGAGACCGTCACCATCGAGCTCAAGAACGGCTCGGTCGTCCATGGCACCATAACAGGTCTTTTTTTCTCTCCTTTACCGCAAGAAATCTGACTCGTTTCAGGCGTGGACATGCAGATGAACACCCATCTCAAGACCGTCAAAATCACTGCACGCAACCGCGACCCCGCGTCGCTCGATGCCCTGTCTATCCGCGGCAACAACATCCGCTACTTTGTCCTCCCGGATGCGTTACCGCTTGATACAGTATGTCTTGCTTTTTCGTGGTACTTTTTAACCGAATTCGCCGACAGCTCCTCGTGGACGACGCACCAAAGCCAAAGGGCCGCAAAAAGGAGCTCGACGCAGCGCGCGGACGCGGCCGGGGGCGGGGCATGGATCGGGGACGCGGACGCGGCGGGCCCAGAGGCGGCGGCGGGCGCGGAAGGGGGAGAGGGTTCTGAGTGCGTGTCGTGCGTGTCGTGCGCGCTCCCCGCGCGGCTGGTTTCGAGGTGTGTGGCGAACTGCAGCGACAGACGCCATCCGGACGGGCGCAAACAAAAGCTTCTTACAGTCCGTGTGTATCATCTCTCTCAATTTTCATGTTCTTTTCTTGTATTCTTGCGATATTCGGACCAGTCACGATGGTTCCGATCCAGATTTCGTTCTTGGGATGTTCCTTGAAGCTCAGACTTGCCAACGCCAGCCTCGTGTTTCGGGACACTTCAAAAACCTTGCGCTGCCCACCCTCGACTTCACCGAACAGCGCCCTCGTTAGCAAATGCTAACCGCGAGGATACAATGTCAACGAACTGGACGTGGAGAACGCATATTTTTCGCGTGGGCGCTCGGGTATGTACGGAGTGCGACCACGACGTGTTGGCGCTCTTTTTGGGCGCCGACAATGGTGACTCGCGCTGAGCATTCGCGTACCTTCCGCGCTGGGCGATCGACGCTCAGTCTCTTCGACCATAGTGGAGCATTTTGCAGTGGTATTACCTCATCGCAATTTCTACCTCCCGCCGGCACCGCGGACGGCTCGATCGCAAGACTTTCCAAGCCCCGTTCGTCATGTCGCAGTTTCCCCGCACGACCAACGGTCACCAACGAGCACTCCTATTATTTAACCTCCACCACTCCGACAATACCTTGAAATGCGTTCTACCTGGAGGTGTGCTTGGTTGCCGTTCTTCACCTCTCTCTCTAATGCGTTCCTCCACACGAAGAATGGCCGCTTTGCTTGCGAAGGCGCACTCAGCGCTGGGCAGGAGGAGGTACGGTGCATTCAGCAATACGAGTTTCTCTCTTTACCTCGCTTGCTAGAACACCCCGGACACGGCGCACCACCCCCGCACCCCGCAATGTCAGGGGGACCTGCCCGTCTGCAGCTCATTCGGCCAACCCCTCGAGCTCGCGGATTGTCAGTGGGCCGTCCTGCCTGTCTGGAACTCATTCGACCAACGTGTACGACTGGTACCTCCCCAGCGCAACCCAGACTATTCCTCATCAACCTCAACCTCAACCCCGAACTGCAGGCGAACCATCCGCAATCGACCTGGTCGCCCGCATTCCACACCTCCAGCTCGCCCGCCTCGCGCCGCACTACGTCCTCGTCCCCTCGTCCTTCCACTTGAATCGCGAGGGCCACGACGCCGCGCGCTGCCGGCAGTACCTCGCCTGCCCGGACCTCGTCCTAGAATACGACGTGCACGGGCTCGCGGAAAGGCTGCGCTCGCGCAACGTGCAGGCGGTCGTCGCACAGCTCGTCGCGCGGCGGTTCGGCTGGTGGGTGGGCTCCCCCGCGCCGTTCCTGAACATCGACACCGCGCACGGGCGCAGCGCGTACGAGGCGATGGTGGCGCAGGGGATGGCGGTCGATGCGATGTCCTGCCAATGCGAGGCGAAGCTACGCGGGTCTCCAGGGTACGTTTAAGAGAAAAGCGGTGCGGGTGTGCTGACTGACTCGTCGATTCGCAGGATGTTTGACCTGGAGCGGGCGAGTATGCGATGGTTAGCGAAGCAATGGGAC